CTACTTTTTATGAGTTGATTGATACCATGAGATTTAGAGCAGCAAATCTTGAATATGCATATTTGATATTATTTCCTTTTTCTTTGGCAGGTAGGGCAAAGGAGTGGCTGAAAGCACATACTAATCAGAGTTTGACTAATTGGAGTAGTGTAGAAGAGAAGTTTCTGAATAGATTTTTTCCACCATCTCGCTATATCAAAGCAAAATCTGACATCACTTCTTTCAGACAAGGAGCAGATGAAGAATTTTGTGAAACATGGGAGAAATTTAAATCACTATTGAGAAGTTGCTCAAATCATGGATTTGATGACGTTTCTTAGTTGAATATTTTCTATACTGGCTTGCGACATGATGCAAAGATGTTATTAGAGGCTGCAGCAGGTGGATCCATGTTGGATGTAGAAATTGATCATGCCACAAAAGTTATTGATGCACTAGCTTTTACAGACCAACAGGCCCAACATGATAGACATCCAATTCAAAGGAAGAGAGTCCTTGAACTTAACACCACAGATGCTCTCTTAGCCCAGAATAAAATTTTGACCCAACAAATTGAAGCATTGAACCAGAAAATAGAGAAATTCTCTCAACAAATGCACACAGTACAAACTATTCTTAATCAATAGATGAGTTGTGATTTGTGTGGAGGTGATCATTCAAATGAACAATGCTCTTATCAAGGCAACATTCAACAAGAAGAAGCTAATTATATGGGGGCCCAAGGTAGTAGTCAAGGCAGACAAGGTAATTTTCCTAATCCCAATAATTATCAGAATAATTTTGCACAAGGATGGAGAGGGAATCAAAATCAGAATCAGAATTTTGGGTGGAACCAAGGTGTTAGCTCATCTACTAGACAACATGCATTTCAACAACAGTTATATCAGCAACCCCCATATCAACAACATCAACAACATTATCCTTCAATGCCTGACAGAATAAGTAAATTGGAGGATACTTTAGAAAAATTCATGCAAGACACTATGGCTAATCAGAAAAATACTGAGACTTCATTCAAAAATATAGAGACCTAGATAGGCCAATTGGCTAAGCAATTATCTGAGCAGCAATAAGGAGGACAATTTTCAGCTAACACACAAACCAACCCCAGGGATCAATGCAATTCAATAACTACAAGGAGTGGAAAAGTTGTAGGTAAGGGGATTGATGACAATATAGTTGTTGAAGAAGAAGTTTTGGTAAAAGAAGATGAAGAGCAAGAAGAGGAGAATAATAAAGAAAGACATATTCCTAATAAGAAGAACGAAGAGAAGATAGAAAAAGAAGGGAGTCAAAAACCATTTGTAGAGAAGTTACCGTATCCCAAGGCTCTTTCATAGATAGATAAAGAAAGACAGTTTGCAAGATTCATGGATATTTTCAAGCAATTGCAAATTAATATATCATTTGTGGAAGCTATGGAGCAAATGCCAACATACGCCAAATTCATGAAAGAGCTCTTAACTAAGAAAAGAAGATTTACTGATGAAACAGTAGAGTTAGAGGCAAGATGCAGTGCTATATTCCAAAAATCATTGCCTCAAAAGTCTAAGGACCCTGGAAGTTTCACTATACCAGTCACAATTGGTGAATTACCGGTGAAAAAATCATTACTTGATTTAGGGGCCAGTATAAACCTCATGCCATTATCTATGCTCAAAAGAATAGGAGACTTGGAAGTAAAGCCTACAAGAATGACACTGCAGCTAGCTGACAGATCTCTAAAGATTCCTTATGGAGTAGCAGAAGATATTTTAGTTAGAGTAGACAAATTCATATTTCCTGTTGATTTTGTGATTATGGACATTGAGGAAAATGAGGAAGTCCCATTGATCCTGGGAAGACCATTTATGAAGACTGTCAAAGTAATTATAGATGTTGACATGGGCAAGTTGAAAATTAGAAGTGGAGATGATGAAGTTAATTTTAATTTGTTTGAAGTTGTACAACAACCGAAAAACAAGAAAGATTGTCTCAGAATAGATACTTTGGATGAATTACCCATCTCAATTGAAAAACAAGATTACAAGCCTGTTGTACAACCCCAAAGACATCTTAGTCTGACTATGAAGGAAGTTATTCAAAGAGAGGTAATGAAACCTCGTGAAGCATGTATGATTTATCCAATCTCTGACAGTTGTAAGGTTATTCACAATGAGAAGAATAAATTCATTCCCACAAGGACAGTTAAGGGATGGAGAATGTGTATATATTACCTTGATCACTCACCTACATGAGCCCTAAAGTAAATAGGCGTCGAGCTAAAGACGTTAAGCAAACGCTCCTGGGAGGCAACCCAATGTTTTGAATTTTTTTTTTCTTTTTGCAGTTTAAGTTTTTTTTGTGCATTTTTCTTCCTTAGGTTCTTTCTTTGCAAGATTGCTCCAGGTACACAGTGCACTTCTCCTCAAGACTTTGAAGCCTTACTTTAATGGCCTGGGAACAGTCCAACTTTTCTGGAGGGGTGAGAAAGTCTGCAGCTGAGGCTGATGCACAAGATAAGAAGTACATGACAAGTGAAGAAAATAAGGGAGGAAACTTACTTTACTTTTAATGTTTTTAATTCCTTTGTTTTTAATTTAATGTTTTTAATTACTTTATTTTAAATTTTGAAATCCCTTGTTGTCCCATAATTTGTTTTAGAGTCATATATGATATTATTGCTTATTGTCTAATTCAAATATAGAACGTGAAAAATAATTTTGATTGTTTCCAATAACAAGTGATTTTGGGATATTGAGTATGATAGTGAAAAGGAATTGATGAGGAAAATTAGGAATTAATTGAATTGGAGAAGCTAGCCAAAACCCAAGTGAGCAGAGTACCAAAAACAGATAAATTGAGTGTCAACACTTTGTGATGATAACTGATATTGGTTGATTCTTTGATTTGATTACATGTTGGCAAGACTTGAAAATGATAAAGGCATTTTTTTTTCTTTGTAGTAGATATAACCCAGAGCCAAATAGCCAACCATGCATTAATTATAGGACATCCATTTGAACCCCGTCTGAGCCAAAAATAATATTATTTCTTAAACAGAACCCTTAAGCCTAAACACTATTTATCTACCTTCCTATATTTGAGAAAGGAAATGAGTATGAATGTCACTATTTTTCTTATTGTTGGGTATTGCTATTATTGTCCTACAGGTATTGTTGGGGTGTTATTATTAAAAAAAAAGTGTAAAGAAAAAGGAAAAGCAATGCTTAAAAATTTGCAAAGCCAAAAAAAGGATACATGCAAAAGCAAAAAAAAAAAAAGTCAAAAGAGAGGTAATAACTTGTGAAATTATTAACTCATTGTCATTGTGTTAGGGACAAAAACATGAAGTTTGAAACCTGACTTGAGGAATTGTTAATCAAGAATCATTCATATGAGTTGAATTTCTCAAATATTTTTGTATATCCCAGAAAAACCAATAATTCTTTCTTAGCCCAGCCCCATTACAAGCCTCAAAAGACCTTTTGACTTAAGTCTTGTTTAGCAATTGTTGATTGCTTGAAGATAATTATCAATATTGGATTGTCTAAATGAAGTGATTGAATGAGATAAACACTTACCTGTGAGAATTAGATATGAGTATATATAACTCTATTTGAGAGATCATGTTTCTCTAAGGATAGTTGAGGACTAATTATTCTTTGTGGGTTTCTATAACTTGAATGCTTATGTGTTCTATTTTCATTTGAAGTTGTGAGCATCACCCTTGAAAATTTTTATGTTGTGGTTCTAGAAGAGAAAAAGATAATATGTGATGATTTTGTTTTGGAAAAACTACTTTGCTTGGGACAAGCAAGATTCTAGGTTGGGGGAGTTGTTAAGTGGTAAAAAGTTGATATAATTATGCCTTGAATTGTTATGAAACCACTTAACTTATGTTAATTCTAATATATTTTTCTCCTAATATAGGATGAATTCGAGAATACCTTGATACAAAGTAAGGAGCATAATTGTCAGCATAATTGGAGTAAAATTGAAATAAAGAAGAGCGCTTAAACGAATGAATGATGCGAGACCCGACCCAAATTCTCTTATAAAAAGATAAGTTGTGTTTTGAGAAAAGGAAGCAGTCTTGGAGGAGAGGAGACACGACTATTGTTAGGGTTTTGTCTAAATTTCATCAATTTTTCACTTCTTCATCAATTGGAGCATTGTAATGGCCGACATGAGTGACTAACTTCATTCTCTTGGGATTTGGTGTACTTCCTTTGAACTCTTTTGTATCATGATGATATTTTGAGATATTAATTTATGCTTTGATGTTGTTATTCTTATCCTTTATGCTTTGGAATGATTTATTCTTAATTGTTTGATGTATGATTGAAAAATATATCTTGAACCGTAGATCACGGTAGGAATATTTGTTACGTTAATTACCAGGAATGAAATGAATGTATCAAGTGCTTAAACACCCTAACCCTAATGCTGGAAAATCTCTTAATTGTGTGAGGAATCAACATTTATTAGGTTTTCTTATGAATTTCATATGTGAGGAATCAACATGGATGATTTGAGTAGGTGACATCAACATTATTAGATTAATTGACGTTCTTAATTGATTTAGTCATTACAAAAGATGGATAAGGAAGGAAATCAATCCTAAATACCTTTAATTAATATTTTCTCAACAATTTACAGTTCTTTGTTATTTAATTTCAATTCAACTCTTATTACAAAAGTCAATCTGTTTTAATCTACTTAGTAAGCATAATTGAGAATTTTCATTAAAACTGTTTCTCGTGGGATCGACTTTTATTTGATCGAAATACAATACCGCGATTGATAAATTTGGTACGCTTGTCAATAATTCAACAACAAATAACACCTGTGGTGCTAACAATTACAACCCCTTAGCTCAAGTAATTTTTCGTGGGGATTTAGCTCAGGATGTAATGTTCGTTTCTCAAACTCAAGTCTCTGGCTTTCGTTCTGGCTGCACAAACTCACATAATTTCACTAGCAATCTTGTAGGGGGATTACCCAAAAGCAGCAAGGGGATGTTAGGCCTTGCAAGGTCAGAACTTGCTGTGCCAACTCAACTTGCATTGTTAAAGAAACTTCCTCCCAAGTTTTCTGTGTGTTTACCTTCTTCTAACAACCTAGGATTCACTAACTTACTCATTGGACCTCAGGGGCATCCTCAGGATGTGTCCAAATATATCCAAACCACTTCTCTTGTTGTCAACCAATTTGACACAGGTCCTTTGTTTGAGGAAGGTGCTCCTTCTACAGAATACTTCATTGATGTAAAATCAATTAAGATTGATGGCAATGTTGTGAACTTAAAGCCTTCTCTGCTGTCCATAGATAGGAAGGGCAATGGGGGCACCAAAATTAGCACCATCTCGTTTTGCTGAATTGCAAAGTTTTGTCTATAAGCCTTTTGTTAGACATTTCCTTAAGAAGGCTGCGGATAGAAGACTAAAGAGAGTAGCATCAGTACCTCCATTTGAGGCATGTTTCGATTCAAAAAGTATTGGCAATTCCATCACCGGTTTTGCTGTGCCAACCATTGATCTAGTGCTACAAGGAGGAGTGCACTGGACTATTCATGGAGCCAATTCCATGGTATTAGCAAAGGAAAATGTAGCATGCCTAGCATTTGTTGATGGAGGGACAATAGCAACAATGTCGCTTTTTAAAGCCTCAGTTGTTATTGGTGCGCATCAGTTGGAGGAAAATCTTTTGGTGTTTGATCTGGCTTCCTCCAAATTAAGCTTCAGCTCTTCACTTTTGCTCCACAATGCAACATGTTCCCTCCTTTGAAGATCATAGGTTCCAAATGCGTTGAGTCTCTGACGCATTTACATTACTCACGGTGAATAATGAAGTTGGCTTTATTCTATAATACAGTAAACCCTATTGTTTTATGGTGCTGCGCTATATTTATTGTAAATCAATTTATGTTTTATTCTTAAGCCAAAATATGAAATTTTCAATTTACTTGGCCATAGCTCATATTATATTCAAGCATTTTTTAATGTTTCGGTTTGATTGTATTGGCTATTCATCTCGAACATTTTACAGCCAAATAGAGTTGCATTCAACAACCATGTTGGATTTTGTCTTTGCCATAAGAAAAGATTTCAAAATTTGCGTTGGCCTTTTGGAGCCCAGCAGAAAGTGAAAGGGTCTTACATATTAATTGAAAGGAAAAACTCCCAACACACTTGCATTGTGTACGCTGTTCATGATTGTTTGCAGTATTTCTTCCATCTGCACGTAATACTCAACAGTAAAACATTGTAATTATTGTTTATCTTAATAAACTGAAGTTCACTTTGTAGTTCAAAAATTCCCAACTGAAGTAGCTTTCCGAACCATTGTATAAAGGAAGAAACAACCAAATATTAACCATCACTAGCAGAAGCTAAATATGGTGTTTATTTTCTCAAGGTAGAAACTAAACTACAGAATCTCAATGTTTAACCACCATGTAAGATGACAAAGGTTTAACCAGAAGCGTGACACTTAAATCACCAAATATGCGAAAGCTTACGTCGAAGAAAACATCAGCAAAGCACAACTCTAATGTATCTTCAAAGAGGATTGATTATTCATAAATACCTTGTGACCATAATTTCAACTCATACCAACACTAATCATTGTCTCTGCATTGGGTTCAACTTCGGATTCATTCATCAGCACTAAAAAAAATCAATTGCTCAAAGCACCCATTTTGGTTATAGGACAAATTCATAGATGTCCAACCAGCGGTGAGGTTTTCAGAGTCCGTTTTTGCTCAACACAAGTAACCACATTAACTATAGCTGAAAGAAAAAACACATAAACCATGCATAACACAAAGAAAACTACTCAAATTGGCATCATCACTCATGTAAACAATCCCATGCAATATTTCCTATCTTTCTGTCGGCTGCCACTTCTCTACATAACATGAGATAATCAAAACTATAGGGAACAGTCCTTCATTCACAATTTATCAAACTCGTGGTAGCATCACCACATACACGAAACTGCCATTAATTGCTACTGCACTTCAAAATATTTCCTCACTTACATAGTCCTAGTTGAAATTCTAACTATTGTTGGGTTAGTTAGCACTTCGATATGATTAAGTGGAGGGTAGATAAGGTGTTGCAAGTGATGGAGAGTGTAACATTAGTACTCAGAAGGGTATCGCTCAAAAAACAATGAAAATTTTCTTTTAGGATTCAAGATTTTTGGTTGCTTATCTTTCTTTGAGCCTCAGGAAGTACAGAAAGGATTTCGGCTAAAGAATTCTTTCAAGATTCAGGACTATTCGTCACTTATTTTTATGGTTAGAACCTCAAGAACATATCAGTAAACGAAATTTGAAATTTTTCTTGCGCAGACTTCATGGTTCGTATTCTGAGAAGATCTTCAACATATATACTCGTAATATGTTGAAAGACCTTAACGATGAATTCAGAAATATTTTGAATAAATAATTGAATATTCTATAGAAGGATTGGTAGCATAACATTGAATCATTTCTTTCACTAAGAAAATAGGCATTGTTATGCATGATGAACAAAAGAAAAAATGGAGCAAGAACAAAAAGAAAAAAGAAAAATAAAGATGTTATTTCCGAAGAGTTCGTATATAATCATGGGCGGAAAGCAAGATAAGACGAAAAATATATAACACGTATGAAGAGAAAAAAAAAAAAAAAAGGTTAGGTGGAGAGCGTAATTTTGTTCTGAACTTGTTATTCTGTCCATTCTGATATATTATTAGTGTAAATAATTCCTTATTTGATTAAATAAATTTATTTTTAAAATATATGATGAATTATTTAAATATCTTATTTTATCGATGTTTAAAATATAATATATCATACATATTTTTAATTTTTACTATAATTTGAAACATTTAAAATAAATTATAAAAAAATAAAAATAAATTATTTAAAAAAATAAAAAAGGATAAATCTAACTTATTATTAAAGATAAAATAAAAATTGATAAATAAAAATAATAAAAGTAATAATTTAAATTATAAAAAAATTTATTTAAAATTGTTTGTTCTTATTTTATAGTAATTTTTTAAAATATAAATGTTGTTATAATCTAAAAATCATCATCTTTACATTTATTTTATCATGTTTATATATTTCTTACATATAATTCATATAATAAAACTATCAAAATAAAATACAATAAAAAAAACAAAACAAATAAAAATTCATCATTGATTATTTTATTATAATTGTAATTTCTTTTTTAACCTACGTTATTACATATCACCTATTACTACGCATATGTCATAACGGGATAATAAGATATTCGTATAACTTTATTTTGTATTAATTCCTTTCGATAACTTAGCTCTATGAATTTGTACAGTAAACCTCAAGTCTTCAATTTTCAATATTGTACTTATCACACCATATTATTTGTTTCTCAACATATTTCTCAATCCTTTTTTCCATAACATATTTCTTTAAATGCTTCTTAATTATTCACGTGCACTTTGGATCTCTTCCATCTAAACCTTTTTCTTATAATTTCCTTTAATTAATATCAATTTTCAACTTATCGATATCTCCAATTTTATTAATACAAGCATTCCTTCCATTTCTCGATTATTTTCATTTGTAATTTTTACCATTAACAATTACGTGGTAATTACGTGATTAAGACAGTATGTGATAAAATCGTCTTAGACAAATTTGATGATGGTTTAGGCAAGTTGGGTTTTGTTGGCGTCTGAAGTGACTCATGTCCAGCAACGCGCCCTATTTTCCACATATTTCTCACATGGCGTGTCCAATGCATGTCCATCCCTTATGTACAAATCTTTATAACGTGTTAAAGCCACAAGGTTTCTTGAAAATCACCTTTTTCGAACGTCTGGATTTCATACTCACAAAGTTTCAATTTAAAGCATTTCATTTTTTTATTCAATAATTCATATGATAATTTTAATGCTTAGAATTTAATATATGTTGTCGCGAGAACTAATTTAATGTCATTATTTTAAGGACTTATTTGAGAATTAAATTAAAACAATCATAAACAAAAAATTACATTATGTCTTGTTAGCGTTCAATACTTATTACTATGGAAGAAGGTATTGATGGGTTGAATTTAGTTCAACTTCAATTCAAATGGGTTTATTTGAGTTTTGATTTTTTATAAAATTGAATTAAATCAACTTAACTAAAATTTCTTAGTTTATTATATTATATGAGTGTGATAAAAGTTAAATTATAATACTTTCAAAGTTTTTATCTTTATTTATGATCTATTTAACATTATTTTAATTTTAGATTAATTTAACATAAACAAATAATTTTTATTTTATTAAAAATATTTTTTATAATTATTTATGATAAAATAATCATTTAATAAACAATACTCAACCAAAAGCACTGCTTGATTCCGTCTCAACCACTACACAGTGAACCCAACTTCGTCCTTAACAAAGTCAGGTTCAGTTCCCTTGGAAAACCATAATGCAACTTTTCCAACTTTCTCTTGGCAGCCATATCTCTGCATAACACACGATAATGGAAGTTAAGGAAACTAAATCTCCCACACGAAGATCCAATTCCAAAATATATTGATTAAAAAAATATTCAAGTGCGACTCTACCTCTATTCACAACTTCTGTTCTCAAATATTTATCTGATACGAAAACCGTGAAAGCATAAAACTTGGTTATTGCTCCTTCACATATGAAAACGTGTTGCAGTTGGAGAAGTGGAGTGTTGAAAATGATGAAAAGATAAGCAGAGGATAGGAGAGAAGGAAAGGTTGAGAACAGATAACTTATTCCAAAACAAAAACATTTTTAAGTTTTTACGCTGACAAGGATACAATTGAGACATTACCAACATACACAGTGAAAAGAGTTAGTTTTGGCCCAGAATGGTAGTTTAGGAAAGTGTGATTGAATTGAAATTCTTGTTGTAAGCACCACATAATTTTTTTAGAGAAGGTGAGTTTAGATGGCGTGTCTGTGTGTGTAATGTAAAGTGACTACACGAAAACGTGAGACTTAAATTGCCCCGTACGACGCTTTTAACACGCTGACTCATTCCCTATTTTCCGCATAGATTCTCACTCCCTTATCAACAACACGTGTCCAATTCGTCTCTATCCCTTATCATGTATTCATTCTACAAACGCAATCTTTCCTGCACTATCATATCCATTTCCATTTTCCACCACCATCATATATGTTAATACCATAATTTATAATTAATATTTTAATAATTATACCTTCAAATTTTAAATACTCTGGATCAACCACAACACAAGTTACTGTTTATGTATTTTTAAATAATTATAAAATCAACAAATTTACTTTGTCACTATTTTTTATATACTAATTATGAGTGTACTTAATTTCTTTCATATCTTTAACACAAATTTAAGTATAAACTGTATTGAAAAAGTATCATATAAAATTTGTATGTAGGGTAGTCTCATTACGGTGCCTTCTATTTTTTAAGTAGAATATTTATATTTGTTAATCAATCAATTATAAATATCAGTTTACGTGTAGTGAATGTTGTTGATGAATTTTGTTCTTAAACTTTAAAATACGCGTGGATTTAATTAATTCATCATGATTTTCTAGTTAAAATAAAAAATTCACATATTGTCAAGATTTTGAGAACCAAAATATATACACTGATTAAAAATACATTTTCATATTTTTAAAAAGAGTCAATTTAAATTTAATAGTATCATATATTATTTTTCATCAACAATATAAAATATTTTTATGTGCATATATTTAATGATAATAAAAAAAACTATCTCATTATTATCACCACATATAAAGATATAGAATCTCCAAATATCATTCTAGAAAAAACATATTAGAAATGAAAATAAAATACCAGTTCCATCGTTCGAAATCTTTATTGATTTTATTCCACAAAAGTAGCCGTAACGTCACGAGTTTAATATTTATGTATTGCTAATGTAAAAAATTTACACTGTAAATTAGTAAAAAGTTATAATAAATAATTAAAATAATTATTATAGAATTAACAAACTTATTACGTATAATAATTATAATGATAATAATGTTTTTATTTTACATAGTCCATCCATAAACTATTTTAGTTCAAAGTTATATTCTATTAGCAAATAAAGTTTAATACAATAACTGCTTTGGGAATTTTATAATAAAAAAATGTTACAGTATTTGAGTTAAAATTCTAAATCACTCTTTATAACTCAACCTTTTAATGGGAAAAATGTTAGAATTAGAAACAAAATTTGTGCATGAGTAAAAATAATGATGAACACTGAAAACTGTAATGCTAAACAATGCTTCAACATATTCGTTTTATTTTACAAGTTTTATTCAGAGGAAAATGACAATTATATGTAGGAAAACTCTTATCTGTTATCACTGCAACTTTTGCACGGTATTTGATTGCTGTAAAATTATATATTTTTAACTTTCTATTGAGCCAGCCAATAATATTTGGAAACATGTATTTCGTACAAATAATAAAGTGGTACAAGACAACATTGCAGTAATTCGTACTGAACTTTCCTTCCTATACGTGTCCTCACAAGGTGGTGTTAAAATCACACCAATCTTGCCAAACACAACCCTATCTAAACTTCATCTCATAATCTTCATTCATTGCAGAGTGATGGTACAATGCTGCCAAATTAAATTTGAGGAAGATAACTCTAACAACATAAACAAATTCGTATGCACCAGTTTCAAAATTTTAAATTATCATACTGATATACATGTATAAGAAGAAAAAAAAGTGACGGACAGAAATGGAATATGCTGAGGATATGTGACTACCATGGTAAAGTATATCCAAATCCTATCAATATATATATATATATATATATATATATATATATATATATATATATATATGTATATAAAATTAGTAAATGAATATAGTAAAAATGGACTTATTTAGATATAGTACGGACAGAAATTTATCTACTAAATTTGATGATATAGGTATAAATGTTGCAGTAATTAATCTGATCTATTATATATATTAATTTATTTATGTAAATAATTATTTTATACAACTTAAATTTAATTTTAAATTATAAATGAGAGAACTGTCTTCACACCTTTTTAGCTATGACTTACAAAGAGTTTAATATTGTACTTTTAACATTAGTTGACAATTTTTCATGTTATATTTGATCAATTTAACAATAAAATTATAAACTACTTTACCATTTAGTTTCTAAATTACAAAACAATAAGATAATCAAAGATTCATATTTTTTTTCGAGTTTAGTTGTGTTATAAAATTTGTATAACGCCAAATTGTTCGGTGAGAACTTTTTTGAAATATATAGATGAAATCAAAGTCTCCAATTATACACCCTGACTTAAAAACATTCAAAAGTCTATGCCACGGATTATGTAGCACGCTAGCTGTACTTTGTGGACCTGCGTTCTTAAGGTTTTTTTTTTTTTTCAATAGACTATACGGAGCATAGAAAATTGGTTCGAGAAGCTTAATTTTGTGAAAAAAGAAAAGAAAAGAAAGTATTAGTTTACAATTTTAGCATCGCATAAGACGGCATCTTAAGGGAATAAAAAGATATTCTATTCTGTGCGCCACATCTCGTTGTTTTACACCTTCTTGGGAGAAAAAGAAACCTGTGTGCTATGAGCTGTATTGTTGTATCTTTACTTTGCCTTATAACGGATATGCTTTTCCCACTATCAACATTCCACAATTAAAAAAAAAAATGCTTTTCTTATCAATCAAACCCGCAAATTCAAAAAGAAAAGGGTCAATCATATACTTCAAAATGGGACAACTCATACGTTGATTTCCTTACTGGAGAAGTATTTCAATTTCAGATATCAAAAACATATAACCAAAAATGCCATCGCCATACATAGGCACATAAGCAGTGTATACACATACCGCAAGGGAGCAAAAACAAAAAAAAGGGTTATTACAGAACGTGTTAAACTCCTCAAAACTCATCTTAATCTAAGAAAACTATATGGTAATGATAATAAATTATTATCACAAGAACCAAGGCTAAACTGACACTGATCGTGCATCGGATCCAGATTTGAAATCGGAGCAACTCGCGTGCCTCGTCAATAGCGAAGGACTAAATCCCACCATGGAAGTATCAAAATCAAACTGAACCAACACATCCTCCAATTGATATCCTCCAATCACAATGGGATTTCTGGGGTTCTCGCCTCCGTCCACAAACCCCAAGCACATAACATCGTCGCTCACCTGCACCATGGAGTTTCTTCCGTATATGCTCCACTTCACCATCTCGCTCTGTAGCACCAGATCGATAACCGGTACGTTGGGGCCCACTTGCGAGCTTCCAACGCCGTTTGAGGCAAAACATAGTCCAAAGGGGGAAACGGGATCCACTCTAGTCATATTCAAAACCGAAGCAGCTTTCGAATACGCGCTCTCGAAGTTGGCGTAGATCGAGGTTTGGAGCGTGGTATAGGGCACCACCGTGCTCAGCTGAGCCCCCCCACCTAACGGTGCGTCGAAAGAAACCTTTTTCCCGTTGATTTTGACGGAATTAACGCTGATGGAAGGGTGGGTCTGGTCCGGGTTGGTCAGCAGCGGCGTGAAAGTTAGAGATCTGAGAATTTCCGACCCGGGTTGAGAATCTTGTGCCGTGTTTCCAAATTGAACAACCCCAGAAGAGGGAGAGAGGCAAAGAGTGATTTTCCTCTGGGTTCCGAGGGAGTGAAAAATCTGAGACGAGAAAGAGGTGCGAGATCTGTCGAGACCCACCATGCCTTTAGCACCGGTAGCCAAACCGTTCAGTAGAAGGGAGGGTGAGCATGTGAAGAGAAGCTGGTGAGAGGGTTCAAAGAGGTCTTCCACAAGCTCTCCTTCGGCGACCCTCTTCCCCGTGACGCTGTTCTCCGCAGAAATCTGACACGCTTGGTCTTGGTCGACAGGGTTAGCAAGACTGGAGAGCCACCTGTGGGTTTCGATTTCAGGACCCTTGGCGGTGAGGCAGCGAACCGAACGGTGGAAAATGGGGGCGAGAGAGGAAGATGGTGTGTTTCGGGAAGCGCAATCAATCCAGAGGGATGAACCAGCGAGATCAAGCACAAAGTTTGCTGATTCGACAGGGGTGCCATACGATAGGGAGGTTAAGTACTGGTGCGTGGAGTCATCTTTTGTAACGGGGAGGGTGAGAGAAGACTTGTAAGCAGAAGAGAGGGTGGAAAGGAGGCTGAGAAGGGTGAGAGAGAGTGGGAGAAGAAGGGAAGAGGAAGCCATAGCAGAGAGAGTGAGAGTAGTTGGTAGTTGAAAGAGGTTTGAGAATGTCGATGTTGAGTCGCCGCGGCTGGGTGAAATATAGTTGTTGTTGTTGTTGGGTTTGGTTTAGGGGTTGGATAAGAGAAGGGAGGGGAATTAAAAAAGGGAGAATAGTCCACTCTCAACTTTATTGGTAGTAGATGACTAGATGACACTCCTTGTGCTTATCTTCTCTTCTTCTCTCTCTTCATAAACAAACATAATAGCATGTGAGATTGATGACTCACTCCTCCTTATAATGACAGAGGACACCCATCTCTTTACCTAGCAAAACGACAAACCAATTTCATTCGCCCAACTTCCTTCGTTTATCCTTTCCAAGTCACACATTATGACGCGTTTCACCACTCTACGTCAATTATTAATGCTCACAAATAATAATATTTGTGATATTGACGATAGTGTCCCTTCAAGGGTCCAAGCGCCATTATTCAACATTCTTGGCGTCTTTACGGTGGCGTTTAGAATCGTAGGATTATGCTTCAGGATAAACTTTCATCTTTAAATTTCCTGCTAATACGTCGGTGCCGTGTTTCTTACGTGGACTTCTCATGGTCCCTCCCCTTATCACCGTCCATCACACTTCTTATCACCGCTTCCTTTTCCCATTTTTTTCGTATTAACTTTAAGCCCTTTTACTTTTTTCAATATACGTGTTGATATTCTTCATTATTGCCATCTGACCCTCTTGGATAGCCGGGTTTCTGTTCTGGATTGGTACGTGGCTCGAATATCTTTTCCATATTTCAATGTTTGGGTCCAAACCTATTCAAAATAATAAATTTAATTATTATTAAAAAAAAAGTCGTTGTAAATCATTATATATATTATTAGACTTTTAATGGTTAGGTTCCAAACAATAACGTCACACCTAACTTCTTGCGATGCATTAAACATTGAGTTTCTTATTTTTTTTTAAAATTGATAATGATGCAACTGTTAAATAAAAAGTAATTCGAAAGCAACTATTGATAAGGTAAGGTGGGATGAGAGAGAAAATGTTTGAATTGCATCTTATAGAAACCTGTTTCTGTGAGAACGTAGAGTCAGAAACTAATTTGAAAATTGAATAATATATATATTGCAAGGTATTTAGGAAACTTTAGTAAAACTATATTTTTGACCTTACGAAAAAGCGTAACTTCACACGAGTTGTGTGAATAATGGAAATGTCCTCAACGAACGATTCAAAATAATTTTAGAACGTATTTTTCAGTCAAATTATAGAAAGACACCAACTATTCAAAGTAACCAACCATTTCTTTAATATAAAAAGAAATTCTAAGTTATTCCAATGAAATCTCAAACCAAACTATTGCTAAGTTTTTCATAACTTATCAGAAAGTAGATAATACATATCTCTGCTTGCGAGGGCATGGAATAAAAGTTCTACTATTTCCGTGAGAGCTGTATCTTGGTTGCTTTATTCTCTCTCTGTCGGTGGTTGAACCCAATTAGTAAACCCATGTATCTAAGAAATATTATTAGGAATTTAAAGATTATCATACGTCCATAATTCCAATTAATTTTAAATAATATTTCATTTTTTTTATTGGTGTTCAAATTTTTCATGTAAAACGATTATTTTTTAACTTAGAATGAAAAACAAGTAAGGTTGGGAAATCCTGTCGTGCTTGTTAAGTGGAGTAACGTGGAATTACATCAGCCACATGTCAAGAACTGAAAAACTCGGTTCATATCGCCTCCCTCGACTCATTCAGAGCCACATATCAAATATTAAAAGAATTCAAGAATAAGACAACCAAGTTTTCGTTATTGTTTAGCAGCATAATATTTATTGATTCATCTCGCATAAGGGGTAATACGAGCGTCAATGATGAAGTCTCTGACATATTATTTGTTATTATTTATTAAAGAGTAAAATCTGAAACTTCTCCAATTTACAAAAATGTGTTAGTTAATATATCACTATTAGTCTTTTCAATTGAAATTTTGTACATACTGGCGCAAAACCATGTGCTATTAAGTTTTTTAGTCCCACGCACATTAACATTTATCTCAAACGTGGAGTTTCATGTTGGTGTCATAGGCCCCAATGGTCCCCCTCATTCTCAAACTTTTTCTAAACACACGTATATACCTAATATTCTTTCAAATCGTTTATTAATTATATTAAGTTACTGAATAAATATAGAGAACAAGCTTTTTTAGTTTTTATGATCATTGTTTTATAAAGATAATTATGATGACTAAAACAAAATGATCCTCTTTGGCCTCTAGATTACACCATTAAAATGCCTGTGACTGATAATGTAACAAAACTTTGTAGACTTTGCCTGCTTAAGATTATATGAATTGACTAACAGAAGAAAACGGGTTCCAGAAGCATCAACTTGTGGGGGAAAAAAACACTATTGGCGTGCACACCATTTTCATATACCACTGATCTAGACAGCATCTTGAAGGAATAAAAAGATATTCGGTGCGCCACATCTTTTGTTCTTCGATGGGTGAGTTTTTAGAAAGAAGACAACCAAGATTTCATTCAAAATCTACATGACATGGATGTTTAATCAAATGTGGGTGATTTTATGTTTTACTCCCCAAATACGTATAAGAATAGTGTTGTTGAACAGTATTTAACATTTTTTTCTAATTTTTTATTAATTAAAATAGACCACTAATCACAAAAATTATTAGTGAAATTTTATTAAGAAATGGAATTTATTCAACTTATTATTTTTAAATAAATTTCATTTTATACGTCATACTTTTCTTATATTATAATAATTATACATTATTGTTCAATTAAATTTTAAAATAATTACTACAATATTATAATAATATAAAAGATATATTTTTTAACCGATATATCAAAATAAATTTATTTATATTTTAAATTAAATTAAATTTATTTTGATTCAACTTATTTAAATTATGATTTTTATGGACATAGGTTATACTAGTATAGACAAACATATTTTATAAAATAATAATGATTTTTTAAAGAAAAATAAAAGTAATATTATTTTATTATATATATATATATATTAAATTAATTTCATAAATAATTTCTTTATTCTAAAAATAAATATTAAAATAAATCTCTAACAATCACTTTTTTTTTTCAAAATCTATTGATAGAGGGTAATTATTATTTTAAATTAATAAATTATTAAAAAATAAATAATGATAATAAAGAATAAATTTTTAATTTTTATTTTAAGATTAAATAAATATATTTTCTTATAATTTATATATTAAATAATTTCATCTTAAATAAAAACTAATTTTATTAATACAATTTTAATTTTTAAAATATATTCTAGTTTTTTATTTTTATTTAAATATTTTTAATTAATTAATTTGGTATAAATATTTTTAAAAAAATAATAAGCAGGTCAAAATTGATCTGTTACCCTAATATAAGATAGGTTAAAAATGTTGGTCGGTCTTAAAATATAAGTTAAGTTGGTTAATTAATTTTTCTTTTTACTTAATTATAGGGTCAAATTAGATTAAATTATTCATTTTCACAATTTTAAATATCATATTATAATAAAATATTTATCATATATATATATATATATATATATATATTTATCTTTTGTTTCTTTCATTAAACTTAATTTTGCTTTGAAATTAAAAAAAATAAGAATTATTTTCTCTATTTACTTGATTATATTTTTTATTTTATTTTTTCTCTCAAATATAGATAAAATTAATTGAATAGTTATTCTTTTATTAACTTTTTAAATTACACGTTGTACTCAGTTTTGTTTTTCATATCTAATGATTTTTTTATATCTAATAATTTTTTACACATAATAATATTTCTATTTTAAAATTAATATATATATATATATGATGATTTTTAACTGGATGAAATTGCATAATTTCTTGGTAAAAAAAATGTTCTTAACAGCGTATTAAGAAATTGGGAAGAGATGTGTTATATATTCAGTTAGTAAATTAGGTTAGAGTGTTATAGGGGCTATTTATGAAGTGCCAACTATTTATTCAGTCCAAGAATGTGTCCAGGTGCAAGGAAGTGGTATTTATTTGGTCCAAGAAAGTGTCCAAGTGAATGGTGTGCTTATTTGGTTCAACAACTAGTCCAAGTGCAAAGATGAGCTATTCATTTGATCCAAGAATGTGTCTAAGTGCAAAAATGTTTAAGCGCTGTTCTAGACAATTTATTTGCTTAGTCACGTGCACATATATTAACCTTTATGTCAATGCTGAAATCGTCCTCTTGGTGGTCACATTAACATAGTGGCCCATGATCTCTTCGTACTCTTTTTTTTTTTTTTTTTAAAAGGAAAATATATATACAACTTCCAATGTTAATTAGTGTGTTATTTTTAACCATGTTCATTTTAACTAGTACAACAAAAACCTATTTGACGTAACATTGCTTATAAATCAATGTTATAAAATTGGGATAATGTACAACAATTATACATAATAAATTAGTCAAATAATTTAGATTAAAACAAGTGTCCGGCTTGACGTGAATGTAGAGAGAAAGAGAATGAGTTGAAAAAAAAAATTTGGAGTGGAGAGAAAAAAGAATGATGTTTTGTATAATTATGATGGAATTGTGAGAATGACAGTTCTGTTTCTCTGTTTTGAGATGAGGCAATGCAAACACAAGTGCTAGTTTCATCTAATGTTGGATTACATTACACCCACCTTCACCAATTATGATGTACCTAAAACCTTGACCTTACACTCTACCTACCACCTCATCAATTTTACCTTACACTCTATTTTTAAATTCTCAAAATTCCACAAATGTAAAAATAAATGCTTGATCAGTTTTTTTTAGACACTAAGAAATACCCCAAGAAAAAAAATATAAGACAGGTAATTTTTACATTTTCCTTTTAATTTTACTATTAGTGTTTTCTAAATAAAATATATTGAGAATACTTATTCTTGTTAAACAGAACTGGAATTCAGTTGGTTGGATCTGTATGTTTAACTTGTTATGCTTTTATAGAAGAAAAATAAAACTTATTTAGTAGTATATTTAGTAGTATATTTAGTTAAAATTTTGTGGAAATAATAATAATAAAAAAAAACTTGTTTCGTTCCTGTATCGTAACATAACATAAAATTGTTTCCCCGTATCCACATGAAAAAAAAAATACAATGTGATTACGAGAGCAGAACACAATGGAAGTCGATTAAGAACAGAGAAGTAAATTATGTCTAAACATAACAACTAAAATTAATTTAAAGTACTTTAAAGTAAGTTGTGAAAATAATTTTCTTAAACTTATAAGAATATACGAGAAATCACAACAAAAAATAAAAAATGACAAAATAATTGTTGAAAGAATACTCCTATTTTTAACGTAAATACAATAAGTAAAAGCCTACAAGTCAGTTAAGTTTTCTTAAGATGAAAATGAATATAAGCGAGTCAATTCAAAATGTATAAATAAGTGCATCCAATACATTAAAATAATAGCTCTCAAATTTGAAAAAAAAAAAAAAAACCTAAAATCTAGTCACAGTATGATACTGATATCTCTAACCACATACCTCAAATTGACGATCCAATGATCAAAACGAAGAAGCTTGTGTCGTGAACCAACTGTCAAAATTT